GCATAAAAAGAAAAAAAAACTAGGATTTAACTATGTGTGCCTACAAGCGCCTTCCCGAAACCCAAACGCCACGATAACTGAAGAAAGTTGTAAATTAACTGGCATTTAGTATGAAATCCGGCCGAATGAAGAACGGGTTTAGAAATTGCCGCCGGAGGTTGTAAATATGTTTAGCATTCCCACGACGCGCAACTGTCTCAATTTTAAATTCATTTATTAAACTCTCATTTTGTCAACGACAGAAATGAGAAACAAACCAAAATAAGCACCATGCATGCTGTTTTAAGGCGATCTAAAACGTAGCAGCAAATGTCTACGTCAATTCAAGCAAGCGTTAAAAAGGTCTAAAACTGCCTGACAGAAGTTGCGGACACAAATGACTGGTTGTAATTACCGTTGCTTTTCTTTAATAGCTGATAGCCTTTAGCATGAAAGAAGAATTTTAGACAATATAAAAAACGCAAATGTCGTTGATTATGTACATTCACAACCTACTTCGACAGTGTCGCGGTCATTTCGAACTATGTTCCTGTCCTTGATGCCATTTTTTAAGCAGTAATTTTGATACAGTTAAGAAATTTGCAAGTCTACTGCTATTGCGGGTTTCTAAATTGAGAGTTGGCTGACTGTGGTGCGACGCAGTGATGAACAAGTCGGGAAGATGGAACAAACGAATGTTTAAAATGTTGCTGTCATAATAAAACTGTCACATGCTGGCTAGCGTAAACCACATCAGAGATTAACGGTTTCGATGACAAGAAGGCATGGTGAGTCATCTATTCATCGACTTGTATGAAGACTTTAAGATTGCCTTTCCACACAGTTTATTCACTCCATAAAAAATTTGTTGTCAAAACCATACTACCTAAACATAGTTAGTACCACGCATTTTCTCCTGATGGCTTCGATATAATCAAATGTCATTTAAATGTTAGTCGAAATATCCACAAGGTAGACAAATGTGTGTTTGGAAATTAGTAGTTTTTCGATAAGACAACACACAATTCATAAATTATTAGGGAAGGTTTTTACGCACACTTCTGGTCTAACGAATAAATGAATTATTTATGCCGGAAAACGCTTTGACCAGCTGCCAGCACTAAACAGATTAAGCCAATTTTAAGTGGATGAAGCAGGTCGTTGAATTGCTGGGTAATTTCTAATATTTTGTTTGCTCAAATAAAGTTTTGTTTGGCATATTTTGAAACTGATGACTGCAAGGAAGCAGACAATCTCGAGTTTCTGATAAAAAGTTCACAAATTTTTAAGAGTGTGTGCGAATTAGGGAATGACAAGTTGCACACTTGGGTGGATTGAAAAAGTTGAAGAAACACCTGCCTGTACCAGCAACGATCACAACAGGCGTTGATGTACACACGAGGAATTTAGATTGCACAGCACGTCCTGCTATCAGTATAATTAAAGTGGCTCCATTAAAGACGCGTTGTGCTTTCCTGCGTGGGCATGTCCACATTGCTCAGAAGCTTCGATGGACCATCAGTTACTGTTACTGTCATTTAGAGACATTTTGTAATTGCCGGCTTTGTTTAAACTAACATGTGTCTGTGCCACCATAGGCCTGCAGTACAACTAGCTCACTTTTACTTCACGTAATGCAAACAGTAGCAATTCCCTTCAGTGAGTGTATACGGTGTTAAATTTGTTCATTCAAATCAAATCTAGTTCATTAGCCTTTACTTCTACATCGTAGTGGATCAGCATACTTCCTATTCCCTTAAATATAACATCTGCTAATTTGAGAAAATTATAGCTAAATTATTCACTCAAACGATACGCCTGTTGCTGCCTAATTTCGCTAATGAAAAAAACGGCAACCGTTTTCATTTGATTGATGGTGCAATTTGATCCCTGCAAATGCTGTGGTGTGTTTGTACGAATTGTCTGATACTTGTCGTGTTAGTATCCACTGCGCATTCTTCTCCTTCAATTAATATTCGGCCTAATCACGTCTAATCTTAGCAAGATGGGCTTCAGGGCGTTTGTCTTGGTTTGGAAAACTAGAAAACTAGAGGGTTTAACTTTGTACTTTATTCAACGTATGGACTTCATGTCATCGCAGTTAAAACGCAGGTATAAAAAGCGAATTCTACGGTGAATGCATAAATCTAGCAAGTCTTCATAAGTATATGCAAACGTATCATCTCTGGGGAGATTCCTCGTCTATATAAAGGCTTTTTTTCAGTTTTTCTGTTTAAAAGGCTTGAGTTACATTCAATGGAAGCTTGACGGCACATCCACTATGTGACTCAAAAGTCAAAGAAACATGTGTTATCTCTGTCACCTTCACCTACATCAAGCCTAGTTAATCAAGTGAGCGATTCACTTCGGGATTTCACTCGCATCGGTGATATCGATCAACTATTACCTTCTCATCTGTCGCCTGATCTCTGTTGCGAAACCATTAGTTTTCCCTCCTTGCACACGTCTGTGATTAATAAGAAAGCGTAATCTTGCTCGCTCACTGGGTTGAACATTCCTGTAACCAGTTAAGTCTCGTAGCTCTTATCCCCTAGGCGAATCTTGTTTTATAGTTTTGGAACATACGTGTGGTGCACATGAATCTGGACCCAGACGGAAGGCCACTTTCATGTTACTCAATCGAATTCCAAATATTTTGGCTAAATCATCCTTTCTGCTTATTTGGAGATTTACTTCACCCAAAATTATAAGGGCTCTCATTTGCCCTTAACTATCGCCCAAGCAGTCAAATGCAACCACAATTCTTACAGCAGAACCCGTGTCAATTTGGGTGGGTTTTAGGGGTTCCACATACACCACCCAAACGGTTATTTGTCAAACAGTTATGTCTCAAGAGATAAAATATGGCTAAATTTTCATTTCGAAATCAATTTCAAGCTGGTAGTGATGAAAAGTACGGCCAACTTGTCGCGTCACATTCCGCCAACTAATTTGCAATACTTCGAACGGCTGCAAATCAAAGAACTTTTTGCATTTCACAGCAATTCCAAAGGATAGAGGGAGACTACGTGAAGGCGTGTTGTTTTAACAAAATTAAATTCAGGTCTGACGTGCTTCCTTTCACATTTTGTACCATTGCCACAATGCAAAATCCATGTGCATCTACAGGGTTATAAAACTGTCCATTAATTAGCAGACCCTTCTGCGTATTTTGACTACAGTTGGATTTCAACCACCACACTCGTCAATTGGGAGCTCTTCCAGTATTTAAGGTCGAAAAAATAAAGTACGCGAATGTTGTTATGGTAGACTTTGGCATACGAAGCAATTTTGATTAACAATGTCTGTCTAAACTCAGTGGTTAGCCAATTCTTAATTGCACAACTCCAGGGTGCAACAATTTTACTTTGCTTTAAACTACTAGCAGACACGGCCATTATGCTTTGTGCATAGCCTCTCCAACTCAAATCCGTTGTCAAGTATTCCGGTGTTCTTTTTAGATTTGCTAATGTCACTTCTTTACTCTACCTACTTCATCAAAAATTGCACCAGCGTAATACCCAACCATTACCTTCAGGATCGGTGAGTTAACCCTCATGAGTAATTCCATACCCTCGAACTACGATTTTTAAATTGTGCAAACCTCGGCTTCTCCGGTGCGACCCATCCACCAAAGGATTTTACTGCTGTACTTGAACAGTGAAACAGATTCTACGATTTTTTTCTTGTGGGCTCAAGCCATGCCCCGGCCCGACTTTTGAGTACTAACTGGCAGCAAATACGAGCTTTTGCGAACACACACATTACTGCATTTCTGTTAAATCTCGTCAGATGCTCATAGCAAATGTTCAGAATGCGTTTTGTATGATAAATAAAAAACGCCAACAAGAAACGCCTTCCATGTTTTTCCCGCAGTTTACCCTTACGACTTGGCATGTGCCGCCAGGCGCTGCGAGACATTCGGTTTGTGCAACGAATTCACAGTACAAATGCACTCGTCGCACAAACAGCGAGGTTCCTTTGGCTTTGAAGAGGTTCCCAGTTCACGCACGAGCACACAGAAACCAAGTGCTTCTTGATTTTCGCTGACTAACATCGAACTCTGAGTTACAAATAAAACGGACAGGGGTTACCTGCTTCCAAGTGTGCAGATCACTAACACTGCTCCCACATACTTAGTGCATCTAGGGCTCTTTCGTTGTATTCCTCAAAACATTGGGCAGAAATGACCTCCAAGACAAGACGGACTCGATTAAGCTCGAGTTTTAGAAAACAAGCATGTCCGTGGGTTTTAAAAACAACATAGTCCCAGGTTAACATTAGCAGGTGGCTTCCAACCTCTGTCGAAAATCTTTCATTGGTAGACTAATAATGTCCCGTAAAACATAAAGCGATGTTTCGGTCCGTCTATCCCATACAAATTGGTTGGTTTAATCTACAGTTACCATAAGGGTTCACTATGGCGACGGCTCGATCTATTGATTTACTTGATATATATGAAGGAAACTATGATAGTCCTAATTCAAAGGGAATGTCAACGACGAAACCTGTAAACCCTTGTCACAACCAACAAAAAGAAACATTCTCCTCGCAAATAGACCACTTTATGTACTAGACCACGGACATTGAGCAAGCGCTTTTCGGCTCAATGCACTGTTTTCAAGAAGTCTTCAACCTAAAGCAGAAGAAAAACACGACGTGAGACACCAGGCTTCGGGTTTTGAGTGAAAACAAAGTAGGAAAGGCGGTTGCAATACAACTGCACCGATGCGCATATCCCTGCGACAGGTGTGTCCCCCACGAGTGCACATCTTTTCAAAGGTGCACAATACAAAATCACTGCATTCTGAGTTTCAACAAAAGAAACGAGTAGAGCGAATGAAAAGCGCGCGACGTGACTTTGTGTTCCGTGAAATTTCATTTTAGCTGTTTTACCGTTGACGTCGCCTTGACTTGGCTATCCACTAACTAATCAGGTTTTACTAAGGAACAGGTAGAGGTCGCGTGAAAGGTGCTCCTTATGAAAAGCATTAAATGAAATTTTAACTGAATCACTCAGGTCACTGGGGCGTTCGTCGCGTTAGAGATTTCGTGAAAGAGCAACAAAAGAAAAACACGTGACACGTAAACGCCGGCGTGTGGGAACGTGCCTTTTGATTTCTGGCTGGCAGGTTGTGCTGCATGATGTTCTGGAGCCACTTTTGAGCGGAATGCGACTCAAAGACGAGACCGAGACGGTGCACAACGAACACCGCGACGACGTCTGCGAGGGTCATCGTTCCACCCACGAGAAAGGGCCGCCCGGACTCGAGCAGGCGCTCGAGGAATTCGCGCCACCTCCTCGCCACCACCTCGTCACCATCGACAAGGGTCACGAGGCTCCAGGAGACCAGCTGTTTAATCTCCGCCAATGCAATCGCCTATTTTATAGAGAGGGCACGTAAAATTAGCGTGTGAACAGAAATCCGCAATTATCAAGTAAAGCTTTGTGGGGAAAACGAAGCGGCTGATGGGTGCTAGATTTCAGGGGGCAAATGGTCACAGACACACACACCCACATTGTGAATTCCTGAAGAATTCCAAAGAATCTATTCTCATCAGATAGAGCACTGCCATACGAGGCGAAAGTTAACAAAGTGTTTGCACGAACCTCGCCGTGGGGAGGAGCATGGGCTACGACGGCCTCAAGTTGAGCTTGGAGGTCGAAGAGGTCCTGGGGAAGAGGCGCATCTTGCCTTGCCTTGTGGTAGCAGAGGCGCGTCAGCGCGACGAGCGGATGCTCGTCCACGGATGCTTCGGTATCGACAAACGACTGCAGATTTTCCGCTACTTCCGACAAACCACTCAGTTCCAACTGCAGCGCACTCAGCTACAAAGGGGACGCATCGGGCGAACATTACCAAGGCTTTAAATCTTGCCGCATTATGCCCTTGTTTCGTTTCTCCATTCCTCCATGTGTGAAATACTTTTCTAACTCGAAAACTGCAGATTTTGTAACTATTGTGCCCCCACGGACCGAGGCCCAACTACTAAAGTGAGAGAGTTTGGCAAATCGAACAAAAAATGACTTGAGGATAAAAGACATGCGTATAGTAGTATATCTTTGTAGATTTAAAACCATTCAAACTAGTTGAAAAAGTTGTGGTGTGAGCACACGCGACAGGAGCAAACCCAGCAAAACACATGGACGATGTTTTGGTAAAACTAAGTGAGGTACTTGCGAGAGAAGACTCATTCCGATAACGAAAATTACCTTGAATTCGACTTCGACAAGGCACTGTTTTAATTCGCCTCAAACCCTTAACGCTCATCACGGAAACAGTGGGAATGGGTAGAGCATTTTGCATTTTATTATTTACTATGTTGCATGTTCCTAAGTGTTCACTAGTCATCCAATTTCAGCCATTTTACAGACAAAAAATGTGCTTGCTTATAGGTGGCTAATTTGAATAACCCCACAACTTCCGGCTGGTGATGGAATGCGCCTCAAAAGATCATTCCGCAATTCAAACCGACACCTACAGGGGCCTTTAGCCTTACCTTCTGCAAGTCCAAATTCTGCTTTGCAAGTGGTACTTTTTGTGAGTACTGTGGACGCGAGCGGACGGTCAGTAGGGAATCGATTGATTTGCGAATCTGCAGAATTCGTTGGTTCACACGAGCTACCTCAGCCTTGGAGTCGATCAGACCGACCAGCCGGAGGTAGAGCTGACAAGTCGCGACTGGCTGGTCTGTGTCGTTGCACGGCACCTCCTCTGTTTCCACGGCTCCGTCCTCCGTCAAGTCCGACTCGTCAGCAGCCACACCGTCGTCAGTTGAGGGTGGAGCCTGAGCCACAAGCGCATCCGTCGCTGACACCGTTGCCATTATGCAACCCTCTGTGTCCACTATTGGGAGCAAATAAACAAGACCGACTAAAACATTCACATTCACACAGGGCAGATGACTACGATGACCGCTCACAGAAACAAGGCACGATACGGGAGACACAACTTAGGCAGGGGGACCTTAGACGATTTAAACAAGTTTTCAATTAATCATAGCGATAAACAAATTGTGAACAAATTGGGGTTCGGGAGAGGCGCTTGATCGTAGGGGCGAAATTTCGAGTCTACTCTGACCCACCGCAGCAAACCAAACATAAAAAGGTAGCGATCCAATGTGCTTAGGGTTGACTCGAAAAACTTCACAAGTGCGGTGGAACTAAAGAATCAGGATGCAACGTCACAACAATCGAGAATACAATGTTAACAACACCATCATAAAGGATGCAGCGGTCACACGTTTACAAACCGCTATGGCTAATAGTTTCAGCACAGTGGACTTGCTGGAGGCACTTGGGAAGATGACATTGATTGTGCTTGAGTAACTTAAAGATACTAGACACTTCAAAGGTGAATAATAGCGAAATTGCCACATCGATTAAAGGAAGATTCAGGTTTACAATGCGCAAATTTGGGAAATAGCCACAAGTGCTTTGATACAATTTGCTCTTTAGCATGATCGCGACCGCGGTATAGGATTTATTCTAGAACGACTCCTGGCCTAAGTAGTCCCAAACAGTAATGCGTTAACAGAAAAGTCGAAGTTAGAAAGTGACGAGTAATGGTCCAAGAAGCCCTAGTGAACTAGTCCGGCAAGATGCCAAGCACAGTTAGCGCAAGTTCTCGCACTAAAGAAAGAATAACCCATGCAAAATACCTGGCGCACAGGTCTAGGAGTGTCGGACCTTGGTATATGCACCTCAGTGTGTCTGAAGTAGAACAAGGTTGCGCATGGTGGCATCAGACCACAAGCATAGGCACAAAATTGAGCTAGGAAATCACCAAAAGAAATTTCACTTAATGTCGAGTAATGCGTCAAAGTATGGCAGGTCCGAAAATCGCATGTGCTGAGGACAGATGCCGGTAAACGAAATTGCACTGGGTGTTAGTTCTTTCTGTTGCATACACCAAAGCGAAGAAAGACGTAAGGCGTAGCAGTACAAAACAGTTTCATCACGACAACCGCAATGCACCCACGCACAGCTACCAAAAGCGGATCAATTTAGAACATTCGAAAGCCCTCCAAAGTAAAGTGAGCAGAAGCAAACGGCATCGATAATTAGGAGACTCATATCGCATTATACGAAAATACTTGTTTTAAACACGTGGAACTGCATAAATTGCATTAGCGTCCAAGGGGTAATGTCAGTAATCGCCCCATTACGGTTGCAATGACCAATTTTAGCAGTAAATTTCAAATGGCCTCCACGAGCGACACCTTAAAGACACAATTTCCTTGAAAAAAATCCTTTCTGAGAAGGCAAACGTGGGACACGGTGAACGCACCAGAGGATTTGGAGGATGCCATGGCAACGACCCGACATTTGCCCAGCGGCATGACAATGTCCTCCAGGAATCCGCCGGAGCGCAAACAAGCGAGGGTCTCGTCCGACGCAACGAGGGCCGCCTCAGGGAAGTGCTGCGGGCCGCCGGACACGCGAAGGTTGTAGGTGCTGTACAGCGAGCGCAGACGGTGGACCAGACTGAATGCCAATTGGAACCCCGCGGACGTCGAGTCGCTCGCCACCGTCTTCCAGTCACTTATCTTAAAAGACATGGAATTAATTACCCGAATGACTGCCGAACGTCAAGTGCAATTGTGGGCAGCCACTAAGGCACCTGAAACAAGCAGAACCATTCTTTTGCATACTTAATACTTTCTATTTTTTTGCAATCAGAAACGTTGGTTACGCATCCGACCACAACACTGAAACTGCACGCGCTAGTGACTGATGTTGGAGAACAAGCACCGCCTGCTTGTAGTGGCATTCGCGAAAAAGGCGATATAATGTAGTGAAGGCTGAGGCCAACAAAGTGGGCTAAGGTTCTTACTTAGCCTTTTCAAGGCACCTCGGGACCAGCATAGGTGATCGTAAATTGGGTTAAACGTCACATCGACATCTGAGGCTTCGGTAAAAATGCATTCACAACTAGGAGAGGCCTGTGAAGAGTGAGGAGCAGAGGAAACGACTTACTTCAGCAAGGGTGGGGTACGGCGTGACGCAAATGGAAGGTGGGTCAGCTGCGGGATCACGTCGCGGGAGACGCTGGAAGAGCTCCTCGGTGACAAAAGGCATGAAGGGATGAAGGAGACGCAGTCCGACGTCCAAACAAGTGTAGACAACATGACGAACTGTTGCCGAACGACCTGTTGCCACTTCCAACGACTTCACCAGCGGCTTTGAGTACTCCTATGACAGATAAACGTTTAAGGGAAGGGGCTACCTCGATAGTGACGGCTCAACCACAGTGACTTACAAGATAGACGTCACAAAACTCGTAGAGCCAAAAATTGAAACAGGCCGTGGTGGCTCGAGGGAATACGTAGTCGGTGAAGCCGGAGTTGCTGTTTTCGACGGCATGCGCCAGACGCGAGAGAATCCACCGATCGGTGCCCGACAAGTGAGATGTGATAAGGGACGAGGCGGACTTGGGTGGCACGTAGGACTCCCCCAGGCAGTGGTAAATGGCGTACCTGAAATGAGGCCAACAAACACCTCACGAAAGGCAAACACTAATCTGATGGAGTGCAGGGGAAGGTGTAAAGACTTCGCCCGGAAAGGGAGTAGAGTGGAGGGCAACACGATGGCGCGTCACCTCGGACAGCCACTTAGTTTCATGAAAGACGCGAAGACCAAGCTTCTGTGTATGCAAGGACACGTGATTTCAAGGGTAGATTTTGCCTCAGATTAAACACGTCAGAGGTGAAGCGACTGGTGTGCAGTACCAAATCCCCACAACCCAGAGAAGGAAACTGCTCAGATCCTGACTACAAAGCATAGTTGAGGTTTGTTGATGACGAGGAAAATTACGCGTGGACATGTCAGAAAAGGGGGGGGGTTCCAAACCTATTCTAATGAAGCTGCATTAAATCCCACAATTAGAACGAAAGTGAGGCATTCCAATTAAGCGGAGTTGTGTAACTAGTCATAAAAACACAGGCGTTTCGGAAAATCCGCATATAAAGTTCAGGAAAGCACCTGACAGCAACAAGGGCAGCTGCATTTTTAAAAATATTACAGGAAACTATGAGGATGGTTGGTAGTGAGCGAGGAATAAAAGCGAGGGTGAAAAAAGCTGTATGCATGGAATTGTGGATGAGCGACGGCAACATCTGCTGAACTGGGAACCGTCCCATGCCTGCGCCAAGCCAAACGCCAAAGCGGCACTACGTCGAGTTCCACAAGGGCAAAAGACTACACATTCACCTCACGCGAGGATCCGTAAGGCGTGGCAATCGAACCTACAGGAATGGAGAAGTCCAACGAACTACGAAGCGCGAAGACCAGATTTCCTTTTTGTCAGCTTTACAGTGCTTAGTGAGACGTAAAATGGTTACAAAAGGCCACCAGCTTAATCCAGACTACAATTAGCGAAGATTTGGTAGCTTCCGACAATAAGAGTTCATGAAGCTAAAGGCGGAAGGATTTGACTAAAGAGAAGTCGCATAGGGCAACAGAAGAGAAATGTAACCAACCTTACAGCATTCCACAACTTGTTACAGAAGAAGCGGTAGCCCTGAACGCGCAGGATATCGAGGTTGATGCTGCGGCCACACGTGGTGTAGGAGCAGAGCGCGAAACGCAAAGCATCGGTGCCGCACTCGGGAATGCCGTTCGGGAAGTCCTTGGCCTGTGCGGCTGTGGCGCGTTTCAACTCAGTCGGGTCCAAATTCCCGGTCAGCAGTTTCGCTTGCAGATCTTAAAACGCCAGCAAGAAAGTTGTTGTTTCTCACAAACAGAGCAGATCTCGATTACACGAGTTTATCAGGTCAGATGAGCAAATTAGCCCAGGTAGAATCAGCTACTACAATAGTAATAGTAGGACAGTTGAAAATATAACACCTGAAATAGTAAAATGCCTACCAGGAAGGGAAATTCCATGGATAACGTCGACAGGATCGATAGCATTTCCAAGAGACTTGGACATCTTTTTCCCATGGGCGTCGCGGACCATGGGGTGCAAGTAGACCTGGGTGAAGGGCAGCTTTTGCGTGAAAAACAGCCCCATCATGACCATTCGCGCGACCCAGAAGAAGAGGATGTCGTGACCGGTCTCCAGCAGGCTTCCAGGGTAGTAGAGGGGGAAGTCGGGGGCGTGTTCATCGGGCCACCCGAAGACGGAGAGGGGGAAGAGCGCGGAGGAGAACCAGGTGTCCAGGACGTCGTCGTCTTGGGTCAAACGGATGTCCGTTCGCTTGGCGTTGAAGCGCTTCTCGGCAATCGCCAGCGCCTCCGACTCGTCTCGCCCGATTACCCACGAGGTGTTGTCCGAAGACTGATGGCAAGCGCAATTATCAGAAGTACGAAACCGAACCACTAACAGAAATCCTACACGGAATTCCTATTCTGCTTGGAAATTAGACACGATAGACACGTTGCTGCCCGTTTTACACAGACCTTAATTGGCATTGTAAGCTTATACCCCGTGCAGGAATCCCTAAAAGCATTATTTTTTCCCAGAATTTGAAAATAAAATTCACCGTCACCCACGTTTATTATTGTATCCGGATGTTATTTAAAGCTTGGAATTAACTTTGTAGTTTTGGAAAATCGAGACTCAAAACTGGCAACAAGTCACACCATCACAGCTTAAACTGGTACGTGATTCTTAAACTTTATCGAAGCAAAAATTTCAGGTGAATTTATAGTTTTGGATCAATTTCCGTGGTGTAAATACATGTAGTATATTCAACCGATCCAGTATTCCATTATAATTAAGGTCCTTCCATTTAAGATGGAGTAGCCGATACCGAATGCGTACTGAATGCGTCTTAGACCAGTGTACAGACGGAAGAATGTGTATGCATTGCATACAGATGGACTAACAACGCCATGGTGTGAGCTAGATTCCGGAACCAAACACCACAATCGACAGTTGAGGCACATACTTCGAGCTGCCGGAATTCCTCGCTGCTGTTTGACCGCAATGAGACCAGATAGGCAGGCACCCGATGACCCCACCAAAGCTGCCGGGAGATACACCAGTCGCGACAATCCCGAAGCCAGGCGTACCAGGTATTTACGTAAGGTGCAGGGGTTATTTTCAGCCGACCCTCCGAAACCTGGTGAAACGAAAGGGGCACTACGTGACTCCTGCGGGTTTTTATATCTTCGATATATCTGGAAAGCACCTAAACTCAGTGAAGTGTAATTAAAACATTTCGGGGATATTAGAGCCCAGAGGCCTTTTCCTAAGTCAGACAACACCCTGTCATTACTGGAGCATCAGAGCGAGCAGTGCAGATCGGTTGTTGGCATCGCATAAAAGGTCTTACTTCTTTCACGGCCCTGTCAGCTAGCTCCTGACAGCGGACATACCACTGGGGCTTGAGCAGGGGTTCAATGACGTCCTTGGTCCGACTGCAGGTGGGCACGACCATTGGATTGTCCACCTCCCCGCGGAACAGACCTCGCTCCTCCAGCGCCTTACGCACAGCGAGTCTGGCCTCGAAGCGCTTCAGCCCAGCAAACGGTCCTGCCTCCTTCGTCATGAGCCCTGTCTCATCGATGCACGTGATGAAAGGCAAGTTGTGTCGAAGACCGACATCATAGTCCGTCGGATCGTGAGCTGGCGTGAGCTTGACCGCTCCCGTGCCGAAGTCGCGGTCCACAAAAGTGTCACCCACTATCGGCAGGCGACGCTCCGGCACGGCGAACGGGTGGACGGCGAATCGGCCGATTAAGTGCGCGTAACGCTGGTCGTCGGGGTGTACAGCTATGCCCGTATCACCTAGCATTGTCTCAAGACGCGTTGTCGCGACCACCAACTCCTCGCCGGACTCACTGTCTGCAAGGGCAAATGCGAATCAGTAGACGTGGAGTCGGGAGTTAAGTGAGGAACAACGCGATTCCAGTTATTGTAACCGCGATAATTTTCAAGCAGCCTATTTGTTTTTATTTTTGAGGCTTGGCTCTTAAACTACATCGTTTTTCGTTAGATCTACAAGGCGACTAACTGCAAAAGAGTAGGTAGTAGGTCGCAAGTTGGGACTATGACAATGTTACCAGAGGCTTACTTGATCTAACTACAGTATGAGTTCTGTTATTTCATTTTTCGCACTTGACATACGAAATTCGAAGCCAGAATTTAAATCGCCTACACCAAACTTAGCTAAACATGTACGTTGAATAATAAAAATGAAAGGAACAATACGACCGACGAGTTGTGCTTGCATGAGACTTCACGCGATTACAAATATCTCAAGAATCTCGATCAAAGAATGAAAAGGAATGGATAAAGTTAATATAATGGCCAGTTCGTGATCTCTTCTGGTTTAATTTCTACATGGTGGCCCGAGTGAAATCAAAAAACACACATTCTAGGAGACAGGCAGGTAGAAGCAACGACCACAAGTACTACTTCTACCAAAAAAATTTATCGGTAACCTATGACTGTTAGACAGAAGCTTCACTGTAATGGAAGTTGAGCATTTGATGGCTAATTTTCGTTATTCTAAATATTTTTCCTATTCCTAACTTTCTTGCTGAGTTTATTCCTGTCTAACTCCATCCCATAATAACTCGTGAGTATCTAAAATTTGAGCCCATCCCAAGCTCGTATTGTTTTAATGGTGTTTTATTGCGGGGAAATGCGAGGGTCTGAAAATGCGGATTGAGCAATTTCGTCATACAGCATTGCACATTACAAGTCCTACCACTGTTCTCTTCACACAGACCTCAAATTTACCAATATTTACGAATAAATACACGAAACCACCTTATTTGGGGTGAATTTCGGTCATGCAGTACCTAAGGCCTCCGAGGTATGAAAAACGTTTTGGGAAATTAAAGATGTACACCAAACAAACCCCAACCAATGTCGTGCTGTAAAACATGTTGTCGTGGGGAGCGGTATGCTTTAGGTTTGAACGATATCTACTGCGAACTGAGTAGCACGTCGTGAAGAAATGTTGACACAACAGATTAGGTGTAAATTATTACTCGCGTTATAAAGTAGTCATAAGTGAATCGAGGATGACGGATGACGTACCAGCGATGGGATATGCAAAAGACGCGAGGACACCGAATATGACAGGTTTCTCATAACCAGGCACGGTGAGAGCTGTTCTACCCGACAACTCAATCTTGTCCACCTCGATGTCCGAAATGGCCGACTGGAGGGTGCAGCACCAGTTGACGAGGCGCACGCCGCGGTATATTAGACCGGCGGAGTGCATTCGCACAAAGGCCTCCGTCACGGCACGGCTCAGGTTCGGGTCCATGGTGAAAGAGGCGCGGGTCCAATCACAGGAGCTGCCCAAAGCGCGGATCTGGTGGTAAATGTTTTCACCCTTTCTAGAAAAGGAAGAAGATTGGCAATTGGCGAACCTCAGACTCGCCACCACAATTTCAAGCTCAGATCAACACTGACACAAGTTACGTGAAAATGCTGAACATGGTAACAGTGATGTAACACAATTCTATAACACCCGGTTAATGAGGTGCATGCACAAAGCAATGCGAGAATTGGTGAGCCGTACTCTTCTTTCCATTTCCAGACCTCCTTGACGAAAGCGTCGCGTCCGATATCGTGCCGTGTGACCTTCCTGTCACGCCACAATTTCTTCTCGACAACAACCTACAGAAACAAAAAAAACAAACAATGAGAAAAAATTAACATCGACGTAAAAACAGAAGGATCCGATTAAAATTTATATCATCACAACGAGGAAAAGTCTCAATGCATCGAAAGTTTGGCCCTGAACAGTAACCGGCTGATGAAAGGTGATGTAAATAGTCGAATTACATGATTCTACAATGGCAACACAGCCGAAGTGCAATAACTGCAATCGAAATTAACCTGAGTAGCAATGCCTGCATGGTCGCAGCCGGGAACCCAGACAGTTATTTCGCCGCGCATCCGGTGCCAACGCACGATGGCGTCCTCCAAGGCATTGGTCAGCGCGTGGCCCAAGTGAAGGGTACCCGTGACATTTGGCGGTGGAATTACGATCACAAACTTCTTTCTCGCTTCTTTCAGGGTGTCCCTAGAAGCCTGTAAAAATAAAAAATAAAAACACTCAGAAGCGCAAACATGTTACAGACGTAATATGCTATTAAAAATCAGTGTACTCTTGAAGTCAAGCACGTATATCCGGAGCCCGACATAAATTGATACGCTCATTTGAGAAGTAAAACAAGACACATTAATAATAAAAACGATGACAAAAGAAGTCAAATAACGCGGCCCTGTGGGCGCATATTGCATAGTATCTGCAAATGGCTTTCAACTGCAAATCTGCCTTAGCTACCTTAAATGTGCGCATAGCAAATCGTCGGTTAAAATTCTTAAAAGAAATCCATCCTAAGAAAGAGAGCAAAGTAAAGTGGCTACGTGAGGGGAATTATGAAAAACCTAAATTAGCCAAAAAGTACAGGTGCATTAATAGGTGTGCGACTGACGGTGATTGTTTTCGTTTTTAGCTTCCATCACACTACATTGACAGTTATTAGAACGAAGACAGATCAAGTCCAATAGCATATATGCTTTACAATAAAGAACGTTAATACCACTTCCTGGATTAAGAATAGATTGGTCACCTTTAAGCAAAAAGAAAATTCCCATTCACAGCATCCATTTAGAGTTATTTCGATTATCAAAATTACTGCACAATGTTGGGCAAATTTCGAACATACCCAGTACTCAGGAGTGAAAAAGCCCGACTTCTCCCACCATTGGTACCACAGGGCTTCAACGTACTTAGGTGAATAAGACTCTGGCATTTTCCCGGAAACATCTAAAAAATAAAGGCACTGCTAATTATATTTCAGAGACACTAATGATACTCCTGAGTAAAAAAATTCAAGCATCATAACACAGAGATACATTTGGTAGATAACATGAAGTAAGACTATCAGTCCAGCGTAATGAACGCATTTTTCAGTGTATAGGTAATTCCACTAAGTGCCATGTCAACAGCAAAGGTAGTAGTAATACAACCTTTAACGTAAAACGTTGCTCATCAGTGCAAAAAATTATAGACACGTCAATGAATAGATCCCTGATACGAAATAAAAGTGCACGCTGCAATGAATTTTCGATATTTAGTACAACGATTTCAGAAACCAGCTTGATATAGAGAATGCACCATATTTAAGCAAAAAAATTAGAAAAATTCGTTGTGCAGACTGCAACGGCACACTGACAACTAATTACAAAAGAATTCCGGAGGCTTTACGTTACGGTTGCTGGAGCAGTGGAACAAACAAGAGAGAGTACAGCAACCACAGCAGCTTTGTGCTCATTAAGAAAAAGCTCAAAATACCAGTGAGTAATTAAAAATAGTCATGTGGAAGTAAATTGGACAATACTTTGTGCAAACGGAACAATACTAAAAGTTCGATGTATTGATGAGAATTAAGGGGTTAAAAGGAGACTACAGCACAAAGCGATGACGGCATAACATCAAAAAACTACGGATTTCAAGCAAGAGAATGCTTATAAATTACCCTTTTTTCCATTTTCGTCGGCAGTTGGTAACTCAGTTTTGGAGGGCAGGACGATGGTTTTTTCTTGCTTGGGTTTCGGCTTCACATTATTTTGACCAGCAAGTTTGGTTTGTTTCGCATTAAATTTTGCCAATTTTTCCAGCCTTTTGGCTTCCTTTTTTAGCTGTGCAGGCGTCTTTGAAGTCTCCTCCATAATGTCGCAAGCACGTGCAAACAGCAGTGTGGTGTGGTGTTGGGGTGAGGTGTTTTGTGGTGTGGTGTGGCGTCGGATTGGGGCGCAGACATATTGGACCACCTGGCCTCAGCCAATCCCGTGTCTCTCTGCGATCCAATGGCATGCGGGAAAGGAAGGCAGCCAACCAGAAAGGACACGACTGAGGAGCAGTATATAATGAGCGGCGTGGCCAGCGCGGTGGACTCGGATGGTAGGCGCCTGACGCGTAGCTCTGGCTCCTGATTGGTCAATAAAGCCTGTTCTGTTGCACCGGTCTTTTACCGATTAGGGCTCGGGTATTTTACAGTGGCGTCGGATTAGGGCGCAGACATATTGGACCACCTGGCCTCAGCCAATCCTGTGTCTCTATGCGTTCCAATGGCATGCGAGGAAGGTAAGCTGCCAACCAGAGAAGGGCACGACTGAGGAGCAGTATATGATGAGCCGCGTGGCCAGCATCGTGGACTCGGATGGAAGGCGCCTGACGCGTGGCACTGGCTTCTGGTTGGTCAATAAAGCCTGTTCTGTTGTACCGGTCTTTTACCTATTAGGGCTCGGGTATTCTACATTGGTGGCAGCGGATGCGTTCGAATAACGCGAATCGAACCCCAGCCAATTCTCTTCTGTGGTCAACACAGGCAAAGACCCTTAAATCCCAGCTGAAATTGTCATGGCGGTCATCCGATATCTCATACACTGGATCCATAGACATTACCCGGGATTTGGGCGACTGCATCTGAAGAGGAATTGGTAACTCAACGACGACGACATGGACAGTAGAAGCTAGCTGAACTGCAACTGCGAAGGGACCTACGATGGAAGATAAGTCCTTCCTGCATGTCTACAAGTGCAAAGCCCCTCGTCAACTAATCGCATGGGCCACTATCCTGCCAGATGTGGGGTGCGGGGAGTGTCGAAGTGGATATTTTGACAACCAAGAACAATGTGGGTAACCAAGCCAGAAGCATAGGACAGCTTCCCTTCTGAGGAGTAGGCAGTGTAGCTACGTCTGCGGGCGCTGACATATTGGACCACTCTGGCCTAAGCAAATCCTCTGTCTCTTTGCGTTCCAATGGCATGCGAGGAGGACAAGCATCCAGCCAGAGATAAACACGATTGAGGAGCAGTAAGTAATGAGCGACGTAAACGGATAAACGGCGCCTGACGTGTAGTTCTGTCTTGTGATTGGTCAGTAAAACCTGTTCTCTTGTACCAATCTTCTTCATTCGCGTATTCTACAGATTCAACACAACGCCGCGAGTTAAAAGCGCTAACGCACTCCCAATCAAGCATTTTCATGTTACTCTAGTTAATTTTAAGGTAACTATTTTGACAGGGAAGTTTTTTTTAAACAAACCAATGTTCTCAATAAACAAATGCAATTACCTTCCAACCACACGAACTGATCGAGTCAAAATATTTCTAATATTTGTAAGGACTACGAGAGATTGAAAACCTATCACTTAAGTAACTTATGTTAATTTCTCCGTACTTACTAATATTGCCCATTTCTAGGACGAAAACCAAAGGTGATTGGTTTTATGAAGGTCGAAATTTTAATGCTCTGTTTTTATTTTGCAGTAAATTGATCGCAAAAAAGTATAAAAAGGCAACAACGTATCATCGTGAAGTTCATTACATAGAAAATTGGATTGTCGTAAATAAAGTTTTGAAAGTGTGACGTCCACAGAGCTCCATAATGCAAACGTTTCCTCAGGAGTGAAATTCGATTTCATCCTTTGCAGAATTTCTGAAGATAATCGCAGATAGCTCTACCGTAGTAGAACATTATTTGTCTAAAGATATTTACTATTCTTTTTGGGATAGTTACTTAGTGTATTTATTTTATGAGGACTTAGAGAAATTGCGAAATGTGTACGTCGTCCGCGCAGGAACTTTCACACTGGACACGAACTCACTCCGAAATTGCCAACTCCGATGAAGCCCAGTTACAAAGTACACGTCTTTTTACTTAAAAATAGTTTAAGAACAGAGACTTGACCATTTATCAGCCGACATGGGAAAATTGTCCCTGCTTGTTTATTAGTCTGCGAGTGCACAAAGGGGCAATAGCATGGTCCTAATATGTAAAGTTTGAAATAACTTATAAATAGGCTAGAGAGTGTCAAATCACTTACCAATTTTTGGGTGAATCGTCAAGAACACATGAATAAAATTTTGACATGAAATCTGACACAAAATTAAGAACACTAATTCACTCCAATTAACATTCATATCTAACATTCACTGTTTGGATATTGTTGAATTTGTACAAATGTTAATCATATACAACACAAAAAGGTTTGTTTGTTAACTAAGGGCAAGATAGGAAGGTATATCGCCTAGAGTTTCAAAGTCCAAGTCTAATTATAACTCAAGACTGCAAATTATAAATGATGTATTGGTTAATACATAAGCCTTACAGAAGCAATATTATATGCCAAACATTTCCTAACTGATATTTTGTGCTTTGACATTTTTTTATGCATTAAAACTAAAAATATTTACACTGGAACTCGACTTATGAATCCCGATGAGTAATTTTGATTTATTTGTATCTGTATCTCGACAATATCTAGTCGGTGTCTACCTTAAGGTAGCACAAGCATTGTTTTCAGGGATTTATTAAGACCCCTCAAGGGAACTTAAATTGAAATGCTAACAATACTGAGTTATTTTGACATTTTATGTTTGATATCTCGATGTGGTTTGTGGCTAGTTCTTACTACTTGGAACTCAATAACTTTACTGGCAGAGTGTCATTATCTCTCAAAATTTGCCCTTCAGGGTCTCAGCGACTTAAAATCAAATCAGTCTGTGACTTTTAACTGTTTCCGATGATCTTCTCGTTTGGAGCATGGTTTTTAAAGTCATTTCTTAAATCCTCGTAATATCTGATATTCGGAAATCGATCTGTAGTCAAGAGATTAAATTAGATAAGACATCACTGCTTTTGGAAAGCTGGATTTCAGTTTATATAATTAATATTCAACGCAAGTATCCTTATTCAGTGGGAAAGGATACGGCTATCGACTGCCTACTGTGAGCAGCATTTTTGTGGTATACATAGAGAAAATTACTAAACGCGTTTACCATTGTTCGGGATAGCGGTGGCTTTACGTGGTGATAAAGATGAAGACCAACCTTATTTAATACTAAAACTGCCACCAGCGGGACAATTTTTTTAATTTGACAGGGCACTGATTCTGAATAGTAAGTGACTTTCCTTCTAACATTTGCTGTTCCAATTATTTGAAATGTTTGAAGATACCTGAGTTTCACTTACATCTTTATCATTCGATTCTTTTAGTCCCGGCATGGCCAACTTAAACGCAGTGTGTTTGACGTGAAAAATGGTACAAAGTGCAACATATATGGCACATACAGCCCTACTTGCTGACAGTGAAATGCGGAACCACAACTACCAGAGAGATCAAAAGTCGCAGAATCGGACATGCGAAAGCAGAAAAAGGCGATAACGCCTCTCAATCGTCCCATTGCTTATTTGGGCATTTTGCGTGCTACGACACTAGTCCTCGTGGTTGCTGTGCTTTTGATGTCCGTACAAGTGGAGTTGAGACGCGTTGTTAGGCATAAGCGTCGGCCCACAACAGCGGCTTTTCACTTAGATAGCCAACACTTTGCAACGGTTATTTTCGCGTAACTGAATTTGCAAGGGTTCTGGTTTTAAGACCAGGGTCCTCTGAATAAGGTGAATCAAGCCAAACTGAAAGCACTCATTGTAGGGTTTGAAGTTTCTGTGACTCCATCCCAGTCAGTAATTAGCTAGTTAAGCGAAATTCTTCTTTCTAACAAAAATGTTATGATGTCGATAGTTGGAGCAACACAACAAAAGCGTACATTGGCGCATCGCCATGGCGTTGATATAAAATGTGGGTACCAAAGCTCACTGGCTCCATTGCACTTCCATACTCGAAGATGATGCTTATCGGTGCAAACCGTCGGGTGCAAAGAGAGGAACACTTACCTCTGTAGTTAGCACTGGTACCGACGTTGTAGACCCCTGAATTACCTTCACATCCATTATATCTAACTATGTGCATGGCCTGTTTTGGCTGCCGACTTGAATAGTCTCAACGAATTACTCTCAAGCTGACTATTATCGTCACAATTGCCTGCGTCACCAGCCTTATCATCTAAATCAGTTACCGAATGCACCTGATGGCCATTTGCAGTCCTACATAATTTCCTATCTTGCATTTTACCTTTGCTATAGTCAGCAACTTTTGCCACCCCTTCGTTCCGGTTGTCCGACATCGCTGATTCACTTAGGAACCCTTAAGTTTGGTGGCGGAGTTCGACCACGTGCATTGGCTTGCCACTTCCCCACACACAACAGCTAATGAGTTCCGTCAATTTGCTGGATGACAAGGGCATTTTTATTGTGACTAACCTCCCTGATGCCATCCGCGCGAATCCTCAACTTCCCCTTCATTAGCCCGAATATTTATCTTGGAGTGTCCCCACACATAGGTCGCGATGGTAATGCATGTATGACTCACACACCCGAGGTATAAATACATACGCGCAAACTCCACACACGACACCAATGTGGCTGAGCTCCGACGTAAACGGTTATGCCCATGTCCTCCCTGATGTTTTTCTTCATCGCGGGTAGCAGGGAAGCGTAATCGGGCCAAGGTTAATTCCGTGGCCCCGGCGTGGTTCAAGACCACATGCTGGGGCCCACAACAGATTCTTTAATTTGCATTTAGAACTAATGATTTTGCAAAAACGTTGTAACAGTTAACTCTAACTAAAGTTAACACACTGTGACTTTGCAGCTTTACGTGGTGCTGCATTTCTCTGAATTTTACCTGATAAATAATCTTCTAGTAAAACCCAAGTCCAGCTTATTTAAAAAAAAAACATGAAAATGTTAGGAAAACCCTGCGGTGGCTTCAGAGTACCATTTTTAAACCGAAATAAGGAATTAAATGTGGTCATTATGTGGCTGCCAAGATTAACACGGCCGAAGTCCACTTTTAGATCAAGCAATGAGCACAGAAAATTGTTTCCTGCACAAATTTATCCTACGAAAATGAGATGCACAGAGGAACAGTCACCTTTTTGAAACAACAACTGCAAACAAATATGTGAGGATTTAATAATGCCCTCGCCTTCCAGTGCAAACACGCAATTAACCAGCTTAACGTTTCCTAACCAATAGTAGACCCACTCATGTAGGTCCTAAAAACGACCGCTGATGATGAAAATGAGTCACAGGTGACGAGGTCTCAACTTCAAACTTCATTTATAAATAAGGAATAACGGGGTAAATCGCAAGGCGCACAAAAATGCAGGCTTTTGGAGTCCACGAGAGGTCATATTTCATCCAGTTCATCGATGCCGAATTCTGGGAAGTCACCCATCTCCACGAACTGCGGTTTCACAAAGGCTCCATACTTGGGTGGACATTTAAAGTACCTGTAGCCATCGACGCTAAATAGGGGAATTGGGAAGCTTCATTAGCCACCAAAAACACAGAAGCTTAAATCCGAGCCTTCTATCAAAAATCCACACAAACAGCAGAAGAGAAAATGCCTGTTATTAGCAAAGTAAGTCGGTTTTACGTTCAATGAAAAAGCAGGTTGCGTTAACTTTAGTGTGACCGAGGTTACGCAGCTTGTTAGAAGCGAAAATGAAAAATCGGAGATATTGTTGGGATCGGTTGAGAAAAGATATCGGGTTAATTGCCATTCACGAGCATTCTTAAGTTGTTGCCTAAGCAGTGGAGCGAAAAAATGTCATTCTACATTCAAAGAACGGTCTACTACGGATAACAAAATGTGATATTCTCGATCTTGATTGAGGAAGCTGAAAGAATGTGCCTGTAATTCCCTTTTTGTTTATTAAAGCAATGAAACATCGGTACTAAGTAGGAATCACAAAAATGACTAAATATAACTTAAATTCAGGAAGAAATTCCAAGTGAATTCAACCTTTTTGGCAACGCTTTAGTCAATACAGGTGTATTTAAAATAAAATACACCTGCTTTAGGAAGCTTAATAAAATCACAGAATACGTTGCGGGCCTATAAATCATGTCAGACCTGTGTCAGTCAGCATCAAACTAAGAAGCCGAGAACTCACCTTCCATCATTTCGGCCGAGAGGCTCGTCATACTTCACTCCGACCCAGAAGCCTTCCTTAAATTTCGTTTCACCTACAGCATTAAGACCAAACAGACCATTTCCGTATTTGCTTGTAACAAGAGGACATTACTTAAAAGTGTTCTTATCAATTTAAGGGATTTCAATACTGGCACGGACGAAGTGTGTGGCATAAACTAATGCAAATGACAGCATACCTAGAAAGGCTATTTCACCACGTTTAGTCGGCTGATTGGGTACGCGAACTTCACATCTACAAGTTTTTTCAAGACCATAGATTCACTGTTGAATCATAAAGACAAAAGGATAGCACACAATTTAAGCGATATTAGAAAAGTGATTCCACAAACACCATCAGCCCATAAATAGGAGAGAAAAACAAAACTAAAACCTACTTAAGCACTGTTTGCTCACAGGTTTCGACTTAAGGATTTTACGCCAGCTAGTTTATGGCATTTACCAGTCAAAAAGATGCAAAGGCAGCATCCAGTATTAGTCGCTCCATAATGATTACAGTTCTCAAGTGTTGGATGTTTCGCAAACATCTTAAATGATTTTGTTTAATTTTTGTATACTAACAAATTTTGGAATGAATTGTAGCAAAAAATATGACCATCAATGTAACTTGGAGCAGCTCATATTTACTCCGAAGTAGTGTACCCAGACACGGATTTCGCATGAGCGCATCATCTAAGTTGAGTGCATGGCCAAGTAAAGTTGTCAAAATAGCATGTCTTTAATGACGACGAACACAGTGAGACGATTGCAAAAGGCAAAGACGGAAGTATACTACGTTTTTAAGGAGCCTGACAACGATGCCAACAACAAAACAATAAGCGAAATCAAGATCGCTGACAGCAATCTTGGGAAGATCAGTGCTTTGTGGTAGATTCGCATTAAAATAGCGACAAAAACGTTTTTTTCAGGTAAGCAATCTAATTCGTGAAAATATAGCAGACTATATGACTTGAGCATTTCCGCCAAAGAGTTTAAAAAAGGCATCAAAGAGATCCGTCAAAATGCAATGCATTCTTTATCTAGCAAATGGACAACAACACATCAGATTTCATCAACAAATCAAAGAGATGCGTTGAAAGGTAATTTACAGGAATTACCAAACTACTTACCTTTTGCCGACTTCCATATTTTCTATGCGTTCTTTATCAGCAGCGTTCTTTGCTAAACGCGCCTCTTCTGCCGCTTTCAGTTCAGCTGGATCGACTTCCTTGAACTGGCCCAATTTGTGCTTTTTCTTCCAAGCTAACAATGATTCTAAAAAAGCGGACACAGTCAACAACAGCGAGGAAGATTCCATTGACGCTTTCCTTTAATATGACACGAATGAATTTACCCTTTCGACTAGCGTACTCCTCATCGGTGAGTTTGAATCCCTCGTCAACGTCCTGTTTAAGAATATTATCATATAAACCGGTTTCAAGGTTTGGATCACTGACATGGACATGAAAGCCATTTTTCACCCCAAGCTCTTCAAGAGTTTCGGAGTCGTCAGTGAGCTCTTTGACAAATTTTTCATTATCGTCTCGAAGTTCAAGTTTCATCGATGCATTGTCACAACCGGTTATAAGGACTAAATTTTCCTTAGAATAGAAATGACAAAAAAGTGCAATACTTTAAATTTTGACAGAAGGGTATTTAGGGGAAAACGTTTTTCACACCTCATAGTTGTTGCATTTGAAGAAATCAGAAGAGAAACGTAAGACATCCCTAAACTAGCAACGAGCTCAAATCGGGCGCCCTCACAAAACTCGCGTTTAATCAGTTTATCTGGCCACCTCCAGGTAGTAATTAATACTTCCTATGACTGTAATAGTTTAGCCACTAGACTTGCTTGAAAAGCTGCATACAGGACTTATGATGTTAAAGTACCTTTAATGTTGAGACTACATAAGCGTGATGCAATCAAAATATAAACAAAATTAAAGGTAATGACACGTGTATTGAACCGAAAATAACTTCGAAAGTGGTCCAACCTGAATCCTGCCTGCTCAGTAGTTTAATTTTTTTCCATTCATGTTAGATCTTAAGATCCGGATCCGCTTTTCACCTAATCACTTATTTGATGGTTACTAGTGATAATGTTTGTTCACAAATTATAATTTGTAGATAGGTGTTATTCTTTACAAACGTATATGGATTGGTCTAAAAAGATGCATAAACGGGTATGCCTCAACAATCTCTGGAGCTTTTACCATTAAGTGAATATCCTAGTGAAAAGCTGCTCCAAAAATTAGCAAAATAGGCAGTTATTCGCGGAAAATTATTAAGATAGCGAAGCACTAAAAAGACTCCCACAAAATCACAAGAGGTAGATATTTGAAGATATGGAACATAGCAAATAATTTGAAGTCACGGAGTATGATAAATAGAAGGCAGCATATAATTGACAAATCTGGCAAATGATTTTATCACTGATTGCTGAAAACGAATGTTATTAAATACAAATGTATCATCTTGAGACAGCATTAGGAAATTGTTGTGTAAATAAATGTATGCCAAAATTTAGTTTACTGGTTTACTGTCATCGTTACTTTCAATAAGAAAGAAAGTTTTGCATCGCCCCAACTCGCACCGTGAGTGAATGCCAAACACAAGCATTCGGTTCTTTTGGTTGATACCAGTTTCAGGATTAACGACATGGCCTAACGACCAAAACTACCGATTGAATGGCTTTTCATGAAGGCCACGTATTAATGCCACTGAAAACCCAATTAAACTTCTCCTTTGACGCCTAGTATTGTAAGATCCTCATAAAGAAAGTACGGAAAAATTATTATCTGTACTGTTTCTCCCATGTTTGCATTAAAGGAATGAAATATGGCAAGTGTTTGATATAATTAGGCATATTTTTTGCAATAGCATGCTCAGTCAGTTGATTTTCTAAGTATTATCTTAAACGTCAGCTTTCGAAAAATCTGTAATCGACTGGACTTAAAGCTCTGAGACCAAACTTTGAATCGATGCAAGAGGTCATTTTATTTCCTTTAAGGATAGTCGTAGGATCTCAAACATGTAGGCATAATATCAATCGCACTAAAAATGCTCGAAGGTAGAGACACGCATCTACCAAACCAGCGTCAATTAATACATGATTAAAAAAACTACCTAATTTTTGCGTGTCAGATAATATTTCTCCTCGTTATAGGCAACCGTTCCCTAGAACGTGTCAGATTTACCAAAATGCTTTTTGTAATCCTCGAGTACTGTTGCATTTACAAAAATTTGGACTAGTGAGTAATGCTATTATATTGCCAATATAGTCTGAAAATTAGAAAGGAAAGTGTAAATTGTTTAATGTAGTTTCCAGTACCGATGTTTGTGTAATATCATTCGAACGCAATTTAAATAATCCGTAGGGGGATCCAGTGATATTCAAAACCAAAAAGGCTAGGATGTCAAAGTTACTTCTTATGACATAACAGATTTATATTCGCAATCACATCTGGAAATAACTTCCAGATTATCCTTGATGTTGCTAATAATAACATTACAAAGATATTGAGGTTTGAATTTAAAGTCTTAGTGAACTTCAGCCCTGTTATTGCAACAACGAAGTTTTATGTAGAACAAATGGCCGCTTTTAAGACTTTTAGGGGGTTACACAAATTTAATAGTGAGGGTATTAATTTGATTTAGTGAGTTTGTACCGAATTTTGCTTTCGAATTGCAATGTAGAACCCTAACACAACATTTAACGATATTATGTTTAAATTTAGTAGCTAAACGTACCTACTACCAGTCCGTTAGATGAAACGGTTTAATTAGTAGGAACAAGCGAGAATGGCAGAACTGGCTTAATCACAATAGGACACTGTAAATAGCAGCCGACAGAAAATGCCTTAAAATGCAGCTGCGTGCCTGTACAACTTTGCCACAATTAAGTGGAATGCACGTTTAAGATGTGAGTGATTGATGAAGGCTGCGCTTAGGTGGGTTGGCTGGCTAACTATGGACATGACTGGACCGCAAGCACATAGCTCCCCTGCTTGCCCTCTTCCTTCTCACTCAGAAACCACACTTTGTTATTTCAGCTATGTAATTTATGGACTGTTTAGTTAAATGCCAGTAAGTTCCTTGCACATTTTAATGGCTGAAAAAGATGAATAATGCCAAAAATAGTAAATAGAATGCTGACCCATTATTGGCTGCTCAAAATAGAAAGTTGGTAAGCGTGTACACCATCTCATTTGGCTGAGTTTATCCTGGAGATGGATGTTATAATTAGGTAGCTAATCGGTTCACTCAGTTGTCGCTGTCCAGTGATTCACGAACTGGCTATTCATTAGCAGCACATTAAGAATAATTTTTTACTGCTCTGGAACTATCATTGTTCGTTAACTTCCTGTGGATAAACTCAAAATTCGAAAATCGTAGATACTCAAGGAAAATCTCTAAACGAATACCAAGGAGCCTGATTTTTTTAAAAAAAAACACACAGGTAGAGCTTTCGTGTAGGACAACGCTCAGTTATCGAACCTTAAATCCATTATGGGCGCAGAGAGCACAACACAAACATAACCAAAAGCGTGAAACAGAGTGGAATGGTGATTAGCGCAGTGTAATGCGCCTAGCCCGTCACTCTTCAATAGCCACACCATCATGGTTAGCTGCCAGGCATACGATAGACGAATAATTGGAGGAACCGGATGTATTCCAGACTACCGCACACAAATTCAGAGGGCTAGGGCTTAGGGAGAAAGGGGTGGCCGTGAGGAGGGTCAACGTTGCCCTCGGACTCACGGGCGTGCCTTGAGGAAGGCGAGAGTGCGGGAGGGAAGAGGAGGACAAAGAACAGGCCAGACCGGCGGGCGTGGGTAGAACAGCGCGCGTTACAGCAGGAAAGATTATACGTGCGTTATGGAAGACAGGATTTAAACAAAGTGTCCCCACCGCAATAAAATCCTTCCCGGGTTAATAGTAAGACAAGTACATGCCTACTATGTTTCACAAAACTTTTCGATGAAACATTTCTGCATTCGTCGACGACCAGATCAGGCATGCGTTTTTGAGTTGTGTAACTATTTCTACTACATTCTGTGATAATGACAGCATGTAGTCCAAGGACAAAAAATTGCCAAGATATTCGTCAGATTTTTGTGTTTGTAAATCTGATTTGACGACTATCTATGGCACAACCACATCAAAGTTTCAGTTCGAATGGTTTATTTGAACCCTAATTGGAGGAAACCCTCAGGACTCTATTATATCCGTGGTTAAACAGTCAAAGTTAAACAAAATCGTGGAGAAATTATAAAATTTTGTACAGCCCCGGTTTCATGACTTTTGTGAAGTGATGCTCATTGTAGATTCTGTCGATTGTCATTGATTCTTTTCGAGAGAATCACAAACACATTTGCAGTACCTTTGTTGTTTTCCACTCAAAAAGACACTGGTAAAGATTTTTTTTATTAATTTCTCACATGTTGGATACTTGTTTAGTAAGGGTGAAGTACATGGTTGATGGATGTGTGAAAAATCGCTAGGGCAAATAGCTCCGTAATGTAAACCCTGGTTCAAAAATGCAGCCACACTTTAAATATAGCAAGTGGTAGACAAAACATTAATTTAGTGTCTGTGTGTAGGTGCGAGATCTGCTAAAATTAAGAGGCAAGCCTTTGTGCCTCAATGTTCCTTGAAGTAATTAAGCGCAAGCGATCCCATCAAAAGGGCTTGTATCAGCACACAGGACGGCAATTATTTGTGGCTGAAGGTCGTAGAATAGACATTTTGTTTGAAATTCTCCTTTATGTGGGCCCGTTGAAAATCTATTAATTTTGTCTAAATTTGGCTACCGAAACCAGGGACGGTGTCACGCTGATGTGAATATTGTGAGTGAAGCGTGCACGCCACCTCTCTTACACACATATCTGCAAACAATAGATGCACTGCTTTCGATAATGCATAAACAGTTTACGAAAGCTTCCAGAAATATTGTAACCTCGTTTTGGTACTAGAGATTTGTGGTAATTCTCATGTAAGCAATGATGATGTCATTATTTGTAAGCTATAATATGTTAGAGTTGACTTCACTTAAACACCTATGTAAGCAACTTGAATGATTTAATACACCGCAGTGTTAGATTCAAGTGTCCAAAAGACAAATGGCTGTCCAAAACCGAATTCACCATTTGTGACATGGAACTTGAGTGTCTTTTTCTGATGCGGACAAGTGCTGCATCAATTAGGCCTGTTGAAAACAACTACGAGCATAGTTAAAGTTAGATTAGCTGAAGTGTTAACTATTAGCACAGTCAAGAATGCACAGTCAATACAGTTCGGAAAGCATTGAGCTATTGAGAAAGGAGATCCACTCTTAAATTCAGCGAGCATTGAAGCTACGATTGTGTAAAAGTCGACGTTGCCACTGGACTGCATTCGGTTCAGGATCAGTGGACACTGGATGAAGGTATGCTTAGTTCGGTGGTGCAAAGTGCACTAAATTAAATTCCGCGTAATGTACCAAACTTGCGACGGGCGAAATAATGTTACTAGCGAACAGAATATGGGTTATTCTGCAAAATCCTGTAGAGATCTAAGGCAAAATTGAGAGGGCGATTGACAGGCTTGGTGCTTACAACTTGCACTTCACGTATGAGAAGGTTTGTGCTTTTGGGTGGCACCAAACTAAGGCGAGACCCACTAAGAGACAATACAAGGTACTACTTAATGAGAACATCTCAGTGTGGCAAACTATATGCATTTGTT